GTTTTGTGTAGGTTTCGATTTAACCGGCACCGATTTCAGGCCTGAATGGCGCTGGTTCTTCACTGGTGGTGTGAATATTCGTAAAAATAGCATAACCGGCGCCGGTTACAAGGGCATATTGACCCCGGTTAACTCACTGGTTGATGGGTTGCAGTAGTAAATCATCAGACCGACGCCGGTTCTAAGGGCAGACCGACACCGGTTTGGTCCTTTTTTGCAATATTCACTTTTTGTTCCGTTTGACTCCTGTAGTTGACCCCGAAGTGTTGGTTCTTGGTCCCTTTTGACTGTTGACTCTCGTTTCTTCATCTTTAAGTGTGTGTGATGGTGTCCTAGAATAAATTAGATCTCTCTTAACTTATTCTACCAGCAATTGTAATTATAGCCGCGGTTCCATGTTACAAAAGATACCAGTTAAATTATTCAAACACAAATTAAACGGCATTCATGCAATTAAACCATCAAGAATCTAGCCATACATCATAGTCAACCCCTTCATCAACCTCAAATCCTTAATTAAACTACTCACAATTCATAATTGAAGAATAAATAGAATTGAGAAGAATATAATTAATTGTCATTAATTAAAAAGATGGAACTTACAAAGAATACCAAAAGATTGATGAACAAGGCTGAAAAGCCCTCTAAATTTCGTGTTAGGCACTCTCTCTAAGCTCCCCCCGCCCCCCAAAATAGACAAATTGGGGTCATATTTATAGAAAAACCGCGAAAATAGGCTTAATAGCACGACCGCACTGTCGACTGCACGCTGTGCGGGTCACGGTGCGGCCGCGTGAGAAAATTAATGTGCTCCGTGTTTCGCTCCGTCCGCATTGCGTGCGGATCCCGCACTATACAATAGTGCAGGTACTTCTGGGGGCTATTTCTGGACCGCGCGGTGTGCGGTTTCGGCCGCACATAGTGCGGTTCAGACTTCTTGACTTTTTTGCTCTCAGAATCACCCGCGGGGCGCGCAGAATGTTCTAGAACTGTTTTCTTGCTACTTTCTTCCCAGTTTGCTCTCGGATGCTTGTTTGATCGATCTGAAGGCCGTTTCTTCATCAAATCTTCGTCGTGAACCTCCCGGTGGCCTCCAAAACTCTCTAATCTCACTCGAATGCTCTCAAATCTCACTCAAATGCTCTCAAACTCTTCCCGATTGCTTCTCAAGCGCCGGTGCCAGACTCTAAATTCCTGAATTTGCATTGTCTCTAAACAACACAAAACTCGAACCAACGCCTGGTAAACATAACTTGAGCTAAAATTGAGACTTGTAACATCTTAAAGCTAGAAAAACCATCAAATGCTGATCCCAACACACATCAAATGCGTGTCTTAATACGGACTTATCACTATATAAAATATAGGTAACTACCATTGTAACACCCCCATTTTAGCGATCTAGTAATTCTAGTTACATTAATCTTTTATTTTATTTAGTAAGTTAAATAAGTTTATTTTGTGAATAATGTGATTTATTGTTTGATCATTGATACGCGTGTAATTTCCGTGTGTATGTTTACGTTTTTAGTTAGTTTTGGTTGTTTAATATTTCGGAAATTACACACTTTTGGTGTAATAGTTATGTTTGTAATTTAGTTGTAATTCATTTAGATTAGGATCATTGTGAACTTAAACAGGGCCAAGATCAATCAAATGATCATTGGTGAAGGAAGGTGCAAGAGTACAAGATGAAAAGGAGGCAAAATCCCGATTTTTGACCTGTACCCGGTCGAGTATACCATATACTCGATCGGGTACCAACTGGACTTTCAATCAGATCAATCAGGAGACAAAAGGGTGTGCAGGGGAAGATTTGGCCACGGTCAATTTTCATACCCGATCGGGTACACCGACACACCCGATCGGGTATGCCTTACATTTGCACTCTAAAATCGATCGAGTATGCCTCAAAACTACACTTTTTACACATACCCGATCGGGTATCTATATATACTTGATCGGGTACAAGAACTGCACTCCCAAAAAGCCTATAAATACACCTCCTTCCCTTCACAATTAGATACCAATTCCTTTATACTCTTAAGCTCAGTTTAGAATAGCATTTCTTTATATTTCTTCTAGCATGTTTAGTCTCCAAATGAGGAGCTAAACTTCCATTTCTTGGTTTTGCTCTTGAAGCTTGTTGATTATTAAAGTTGTGAGTTATTTTCTTAACTTCTTCTCTTGATTATTAATTCTTCCCTTAATCTATCTCTATATTAATGTTGGAGGGTTGTTAAGTGACGATTAGTTAACGTTCCGACATTAATTATTACTAGAAATGATCAATGAACCGATGGTTAATCGTTGATGATTTCACAAGTAAGTAACTTCGGTTTATTAATGCACGGTCGTGGTTAATAAACTTAAGAGAGATTAATTTTGTTGGTTAAACCGAAACCGTTGTGTTGAGGTTATCAATCTCAATTGATTTCATCAAGGAGTTAAGAGATTAAATGCTACTATTAAGTCGGTATATGGCGGTGTTCTATACTTGACTAATAGTAAGGGTTATTAATGAACGGTCGTTGTTAATAACTACCCTCGATGAATTGGAGATACTCCTCGATTGAGTATTCGAGAGGGGATAAGTATAGATATAACAATGATCGACTGAAATATATCAACAAGTGGAAAGTAGCAAGACCAAGTCCCTTTTATTCTTGAATTAAATCACATATAACTCGTTCATCTTCGTGTTTAATTTAATTAAATCACTCAATCAAAATCCCCCCTTTATTTACTAGTTACATAAAAAGAGAGTTATTTCTTTCCCTGTGGATACGAACTCTACTACGCTATACTACGTATAGTTGTTACTATCGAATTATTTTGAGTGCACACACGACAAAGTGCACGTCAATCATGTGTTATTCTGGCAGGTAACGTTGACCGGTAAGATCCAATAATTTTAACTGGAGAAATAAGTAATGTTTTAAAGCTTAGTCAGTTTATTTTTAAATAGAATATACTTTTAATGTGTTAGAAGCCCAATTAAGTTAACTAAGCCCAGGTAAATATGTTAAACATTGAAATCCCGAGATTTATGCATAAATACATTTCACCATATAAACCCTGAAGCTCTCGAAATTTTTTCCATAGCAGTCCGTACTCTTCTTTCTCTACTCACCGAAATATTCCTTTCAAACGCCGGTATTCAATTCATTTATCAATTCGGTCACATCTGGTAAGATTAAATTTTCAGTCCTCAATGTTTTTCTTTGTCTTTGTTGTTTGTTGGAGGGGGGTGTTAGCTGTATGATTTATTTAGGTTGTGCAAATTTCACTACTATGATATGTGAAGGGTTTTAATAGTTCGAGTAGTGTGAAGTTAAGGTATATTTGGTGTCGCCTATCCTCTCATATATATTTTCTTTGCTGAGTTTTTGAGTTTAAACTGGTGGAGCTCAAATTTCTAATTAGCTTTTGGTTAATAAGGTTAATGGATGTGGAAACGGTTGTCATTGCAAATGGTTTTTGCACATAAATCTCAGATACCAGTTTTTCTTCTTGTGAAATCCTTCCCTGCACTTTTATGCTCCAACTAACAGGTTCTTTTTAATAGTAACCGCAAATTTGGTTAGCTGCATAATGATTTTTCCATTAAATTGTGTTCTTAAAAAGTCAAGACTTCCGCTGCGGATTCTAAAACCTCTCAAAAGGTTTAAGGATCAAATTTCAAAAAAGAAAAGAGACTTTAAAATCGAAAAAAGATTTAAAAGTTTATTCACCCACACCCCCCCCCCCCTCTAGCTTTACCTTACTAGGGACCATCACAAGGAAACCCTCGAGCTGCTAATCGGCCAAACAAGACCCAAGTTGCTACCCAACCGGCAGAGAATTGAGCGACCGGCTAACCAGACCGACAACTGGACCGATTTCAAATTAAAACTGCTCGACTACTCCGTTTTAGCTGAGTCTATTACTCGACTAAGGGAGTGGGGGACTCGTGTTGGAATAATTTCTCAAGTTCAGTACCATCGGCCCGTTAAACCCGAGCATGGGCCTGACCAGGCTCGGAACCTAACCTGGCTAGCGGAAATTGGTCTGAGATTATTTATTTATTTGTTGGGCCGGTTGACCCATTGGCACTACTATTAGTTGTTTACAATATGTTTGTATTTACTACATTATTTTCATCCTACTAAATTGCTGCCAATTTCTTTAGTCAAGTTATTTTCGACCAACAATTATTATTATTATTAGTGTTGTTGTTATTATGATCATCACCATCATCATCATTATCATTAGTAACAGTATTACTATTAGCATTATTGTTGTTGTTGTTGTTGTTGTTTTTATGCTTATTGTTATTTTAATTGTTATTATTATTGTTATTGTTATTATTATTAGTATTATTATTGTTATCACTATTATTATTAATACTGTTTTTTTGTCACAATTATTTACTACTATTACTATCATCATCATCGGCGTCGTCATCATCATCATCATTATAATTATTATTATATTGGCATTATTATAACTTTTATTATATTGATTTCCTTCCCAGGTCAAATTCGATCAACTAAACCATATCAGACCAAATAGATCAGGCGAGATATATCAGACCAGACCAATGTTCAACATATTTAAAATACATATAAAACAAACATATGCAAGAATAGACTAGGCCAAATAGTCTAAATCGATCAGACTAAATATGATCATAAAGTTTGAATTCAATTAAACCAGTGTTCTTAGACTATTAGAAATGTACTTTTTATATTAAAAAAGTAATGGTATTCTTGCATAATAAATTTACATTCCAATTTATGGCGGTAGGAAAATTAAAATTATGACAAAAATATCCAAATGTATTTTCACATCTACGTCTCACCTAAAATCGTCTAGGCTTCAAAGGCATGAGACTTGATCGTGTCGCCTCCACACGACTTATGCCTTATAGAACATTGACACTGGACACTTAAAACTTTTGCCCAATACTACGCGTACTTGAGAATGTAATATTGAGTTTGGTGATGCCTACTACTCCAGATTAAAAACACAGTTAAGAAATATTTAGAATGAGAAAAATAATAAAAATACCCTAAACTTTGAAGGGGTGTGAGATGAACACCCCAAACTTGCATATGTAATTTAAATATCTCAAACTTTATATAAAAAGTTATTTTAACACCATAGTCAAATATTATTTCTTTCAAAAATGTAAACTTATGGTGTTAATTGCAAAATTTAAAATATTTTAGAATTCTTGAAGACACAATTAACATTCTAACTTCCATTTAGAAATAAATAATGCTACCCCCAATCCATACAATTGCAACATTTTTAAATTTCTATTTTAAATTATGCAATTACTCCATAGAATTACATTTTTGAAAGAAATAATACATGACAATGGTGCGAAAATAAATCTTTATATAAAATTTGGGGTATTTAAATTACATATGCAAGTTTGGGTGCTTACTTCACACCCTTTCAAAGTTTGGGGTATTTTTATTATTTTTCCCTATTTAGAATATAGGGAGAACATTGAGTTTAGCAAATAATTACTACACCGACCCCTCAAAGCAGTATAATTAGCTGCTACACAACCAGAAATTAAATAAAAGAAATTAATAATCACCTCAAGTAGTTCTGACCGAAACTACCGTCTGAATTTGTCTATTTGAGGGACTCTCGAGAGAGTTTTTTTGATGAAAACTCAGCTCAGAAGTCAGTTGAATAAATTATTAAAATACACTGTGTAAATATATACAAAACACATAGTTTTTCAATAATTTATTTAGCTGACTTCTCAATTAAATCTTAAACTAAAATTTTGTGGACATAATCTACACTTTTCTTGTGTTAAGAAAAGGTTATTTTGTGAACATAACATTTATTTAGCTGACTTTTCTGTTTACAAAAGTTAAGAAACAATTCCACACGGTGACACGGAAGTCCCCAAATAGACAAGTCTGGAAGGTGATTCTCGTCGGAACTATCTGAGGTGGCTTTTCTGTCCTCGTAATGGCTTCATAAAAATGTGATTCATCATATCGTTTCGCATCGAGACTATGCACCACTTCGACTTGTAGGGTATTGGTAGGGACCTGGATTCTTGTCTATTATTTCAACACTTTTCCTTCCAAAGTACCAATCACCGAATATGCCTGCTATAGTCTGACATTTAAAACAAAGATGTTACATTAGACCATATAGATGGTGTAAATATGTTTGTAGTCTTTATAAGTATAGTGTATTTAATTTCGTTTTAAATTTCTCATTTTTTGTTTTGTATTTCATCCCTATCATTTGTGTTGGTTTTCATTTTGATCTGACATTAATGTGAATAATACATATTACAATGAAGTATATAAAATTGATTTTTTTGTGATAAAGTATTACTCGTACTAAATTTGATTAATTGATGGTCAAAATTTAAGAAGTTTTAGTCAAAATTCAAATTTCCTGATTCAAATCTAAGAAGTTTGAGTCAAACTTATTTTCAAGGGAAGTTTCAGTTCCTAAAGATAAGATTTAGAAATGTTTATGCATGCTGCCAACATGCATATACGTACCTCATTAGTCTGTGCAGCAGGAAAAGTGTTCCAAGTAGACTGATCCGCTTGAGTATGAGCGAATGGAGCTGTGATGAGATATCCTTTGTTTTGCGTTGGTAGCACAGTTAGAAGCTCCGACCCAAGCTCTTCCACATATTTTGAACATTGAGTTATACGTACATTAATTATCAACTAACATGAAATTAATCATTTAACAATACTTCGTATAATATAATCGACACTTTATATAACTGCTGATAGAAATTCCAATGCAAACCTCGTGAGGCTTCAATTTGGTTGGACGTGCAATTCTTGAGAGGGACACAACCAGCAAGATCAATTGACAGAGTATACAAGATCTGGGATATACATATAGGTGCAAGTTAATTAAACTAGTAGTTTATTTTGTAAGCACTTAAGATCAGAGTTAATATTCTACGTACATTAGATTTTAGTAGTAGATTTTATACATGAAGGTTTTGAAGATCACATGCCAATAATGCAGACAATTTGATGAAATTAAATGCTATCATGAACAACACATTGCTCGTAACATTTAGATAAAGTATGATTAGCCAAACATTCATGCTCCAAATTAAATGTGCACTGATATTTTTGTATTTTTGTAGCTATTTTGTCTAAATATTTCAGCCCATTAGCACCTTTGTAAGCTATAAATAGACTAGCTTTATTAGGAAATGTGTAAAGTGTGCTATTGGGCCCAATCAATAAAGGAGTCCAATTCATGCTTAGGTCACATCACACATTCCCTAGGCATATAAATATTGCATTATGAATGTGTAAAAGAGGCTTTTACAGATTATTCACCGCATATTATTCTAGTGAGAGAGAGAGCCGCAGTTTTCCTTTCTTGATACCCAACTCTGTATTTCTCGATTAATTTGGTTATGAATGGGATAATCTGTTTCTTCTCCACTCTATATCTTTTGTATGATTGTTGGATGTAACAGGGACAAACATATTTACATTGGTTATTGTGACCTCCAGCCAATTAAATAGTAATAATTTCCTTTCCATATATTATCTCTATTCATCAGCTCTGATCCTAATAGATATAGGGAAAATGAAAACTAATAATCACACCTTTTAGCGGTCTTCTTACGATAGTCCCACCTTTTTCGTTATTATGAATAATCCAACTTTTGCACCTCATTTTCATTCACTGGTTGATGACCTGCTATTCCATGTCATTTTCTTATCTTTGCAAATCATTATATCATAAATCTCACCTTTCACAAAGATAATATTTTGCAAAGATAAAGAAAATAACTTGGAATATCAGGTCAATAACCGGGAAGGCTAAAGACCAACAAATGAAGATGAGGTGCAAAGGTTGGATTATTCTTGAATAACAAAAAGGTGAGACTGTTGCAAGAAGAATGCTAAAAGGTTGGATTATTAGTTTTCATTTTCCCATACACTTAGAGATTAAAGGCAACTAAGCTAAGAAAGCACATTGTTAAACGTGAGAGTTAATGTATCACAACAAATAAATTAAAGAATTAAACATGCAAATAACATTTGCAAACAAGTGTCAGACCTGGACTCTGTCAAAAGCTGACATTAAGAAAAACATTGGTGTTGTGATGTCCTCCTCTAAATTTGGAGGAAAGAAACACTGCAAAATCCGAAAACCCAACTGTATATTACACGAACAATTTTAAGTACTCCTCTAAATTTGGAGTAAATTCGAATGCATAGAATTTATGTAAGATGACATGACTTACCAATTCTGCACTTAATCTTCTTCTACAAGATTTCGGCAGCACACTTCCTGATTTCTGTATAGATTGAGAAGATCTATGAGTTCTAAGATAAAATTTAGGGTAATTGAAGTTTGTAGCTTTTATCCAAAATTGACCTGGCATGGCAACTTAGAAATGATAATAGTTTTATTATTGTCAATGCTATGGCATTATTGGCATGTATCAAACACTAACGGTATCGCGTGTACATGTATTCCCTCCGTCCCGAATTATAAGATACTTTTTCGGTTTACGATGTTTGACCGACGATAAAGCAAACGGATCCCTATCTGCACTCAAATTAATTTTAGAAGAAAAAAATTACATATTCAAATGAGAGAATTCCCTAAATAGGAGTAAAAACGTTTTGAAATTCCAAAATAGGAGTATCATGTTTTTTATTTCTTGAATAGGAGTAATCTTCCAAGTTTGGAAGAAAATGTCATGTTTAAAAGTCTTGTAATGCCAAACTTGGCAGAAATTTACTCTTATTCTAGGAATAAAAAACATGATACTTCTATTTTAGAATTTCAAAACGTTTTTACTCCTATTTAGATCAATTTCTGTTGTCCAAATCATTGTTTAAAACTTCAAATTATGCAATCGTAATACTCGTATTAACTTTGGTTCACGTGAATCACGTGTACAATACCTTTAAAGTAGTATAGAATTTGCCTTTTTTGTTTTAAATTTGAGAAATTGGAACTTTTTCATTTGGAATTAGAATTTGTGTTTGATCTCATTATTAATGAAAATTTGAAATGTAATCATATAAATATTAATCTTTTCAAAATGAAGTGTTAAATCATGTCCTATATAAAGAAAAAAAATAAACACAACAGACCAATAAAATGACTAAAAAAAAGTGCATGTGCGGCAGTGTGTCGCATAGAACATGAGAGTCCAGAAGGAATGCGTACATGTAGTTTCACCAGGCCCTTAAACATTAATAGAAATGTATTCTCTTCCGTGCGATTCTTCCTGTTAAAATATCACAAGCCCTTATAGTATATATATAGAATAGATATTACCCGAAAGAGAACTAAATGGGTTAGAAAATTCCAAAATATGACTGTCATGTTTTTATTCCCAAAATAGGACTAATAACTATCATGTTTTGGCAATACCAGACTTCAAACATGATAGTATTTTCCAAACTTGACAGTAATTACTCCTATTTTGGGAATAAAAAACATGCCAGTCCTATTTTAGAATTATCAAACTGTTTTAGTCCTATTTTAGACTTCAATAGCACCTACAGTTCGAGTATATACTTCCTCCGTTCTTAAATAAATGCAACGGTCAACATTTCACACTTGCCGAGACATAACTTTGACCATTAATATAAATGATTTTGTGTTAATAAAAAAATTAAAAAAATTAGATTATGAAAATTTACAATGACACAAGTTTAACAATATTTTTTTTCGTGAAATAATATTATTACATTAATAAATAATATTATTACATTAATAAAATTTATTTCAAAGTAGAACCTGTGAATAGTGTTAAAGTCAAAGTAGTGTTGCATTTATTTAAGAACGGGGTAGTATGACATTTCGCATTTGGAGTATTTTTAACTTACGGAAGAAAGAAATAGGCACCATCGGAGAAACACTTTACTGTAGAAGTAGCAGGAAAGTAGCTTCGGAATTTGTCACAATAAATAGTTGTGGCTACTCCACCTGCTGAACTGCCGACTAATAGAGCCTACAAAAAAATGAAAAAAAAAAAACTGAACGTTTGAAATTCAACAAAAAGTTGTTTCCAAATTACAGAGATTATATTCTTCGATAAGAGCTGCTTGGTATGCACAATTTCGGGAAAGTTCTCGAAATAGGACTAAAAATGTTTGAAAATTTCAAAATAGGACTGTTATACTTTTATTCCCAAAATAGGACTAGTTACTGCCAAGTTTGAAAAATATTGTGATCTTTGAAATCCGGTACTGTCAAAACATGACAGTAATTAGTCCTATTTTGGAAATAAAAACGTGGAAGTCCTATATTGGAATTTTCAAAAAATTTTAGTCCTATTTCGGGTAATATCTCATTTCTTTTTTCTTATTCATTTTTAATACAATTGTCTGTGTAAAATGTGGAGTGCTACACACAAAGTAAGTGTACAAACAGTTTTAAGTTTTCCTTCTTCAATACACTCAACAAAAAGGGATATATGCTTTAATACTTGTAAAAATAAATTACTCTGTATATATATCAAATTAGAGTTAGAGGCCGTTTGGCAACCATGATTTTCGGCTTATCAGGCTTATCAACCAACTTTTTCACCAAACACGTAAATTTTGCTTTCGCGCGCTGAATTATGTAATAAGCAGAAAAAGTAAGGTTAGAGTTACGTTTCTGGCTGTATTGGCTGAAGTTACTGTAGATGACAATTTTAGCTATTTTTACATATAATTTTTTCTTTATTTTATTAATAAAATATATTTTAAAAATATTTTTTTCTTATATTAGCAGAATCAGCCAATGCAGCCACTTCAGCCAGAACTTCATAAAATTCAGCAGAATCAGCCAAAACAGCCGATTTTCGTGTTACCAAACAGGCTCTTAAACATGACTACATGAGACATGACAAAAATATTAAGAATGTTTTTACTTTTAATTTAAAAAAAATGCGGTTTGGTCTGATCTGATTTGGTATGATGTGGTCTGGTTGTAATTTAAATATGAAATTTCTCTTGGTAAAAGCTAGTAATAATTTACCAAATAGAGACAGTAATGAGCTAATGTGTCGTCCATTTTATTAGTAAATGAAATACTGAAAGCATACATTTTTTGCACTTCGCATTCCTTTGTGCAACAACTCTTTCATCACAGCTTTGAAAATTCTCTTTCCCCTGAAGTATAGCTTAGTACCCTGCAAGAGAATTCAACCAATATCAGTGCATGGGTATTGTGTAGACAATATACTTTGTCACTTTGATGTGACAAAGAACATTTGTTTTACAGTAATGTGACAAAGAATATAAGTAGCTAGTTTATCATTAATGTACAGATAACATGTATATTTGCATAAGAAAGTCCACCAACATAAACAATAGTCAATCAACATATTGTAATAATGTTCATGATGAATGCATGCCAAGCTCGTTTCCTACTCCGTACTCCGTATAATATATGGAGGGCGATGAGGACGTGGACTCAAATCCTAAATTTTAAACAACAATTTTTTGGGAACAAAGTTTTAGATACATGTTTAATATTAATGAGAAAGTTTCGGAAATGTATGTAGTACAGGTCGTGTGTTTAAGCATTTAAGGTATTTTATTGTTATTAATTACTAGTACTATTATTATTAGGGAGAGAATTTGACTTTGCACCCCAGTTTTGGGTGATATTGAACTTTGCACCCCATTTTAAAAAAACTTTGAATTTGCACCCCAATTCACTTTAAAATCCTTTGACTTTGCACCCCATTCATTAATTTTTCTTCACAAAATGTTATGTGTTGGGGTGCAAAATCAAAGTTTTTTCAAAATAGGGTGCAAAGTCCAATATCACGAAAAAAGTGGGATGCAAAGTCAAATTCTCCCTTATTATTATTAGGAAAAATTGATAGTAATAATCTCAACTATTGGCGGTCCGCTCATAATAATTCTAACTATCGATTATTTCAAAATAATCCCAACTTTAGGGACCTTCCGCCAATAATGGTCCCTATAAATAAATTCATGTACTCCGTAGTTTCTAAAATGGATGAGAAGAGATATAGCAAGTAATCCCTATAAATAATCCCAATTTTTAATTTTTACGCTTAATTTCTATTTCAAATTCACTTGTTATAGGAGGTAATTCTTTGTCATGGACCATTATTGGCGGACGGTCCATATAGTTGGGATTATACAAAAATAATCAATAGTTGGGATTATTGTCAGCGGACCGGCAATAGTTGGGATTATTATTTTCAATTTTTCATTATTATTATTAATACTCATGCATTAACAATTTGTTGTCAATTTATTATTAAGTCATGCACTACTCATATATTGCAAATGAATGATTGTAACAAAAATAAACGATAAGATATTGACTTGAATCAGAAATTAAATGAATTATAAATACTATACGCCCCATTTTTTATGAGTATCATACGTAGTATTACGTAGTATTCATGACCATCCCAATAAATGTGGGCCATGCATTTTTTCTTAATTAGATTCGCATGCATGTGGTGCTAATTCTTAATGAAACAAGAAAAGTGTAATCTAATCTTAGCTTACATTTGCTGTTAATGCCTGAGAGTTGCTCGTCCACGAAGACGCATCACAATACCGGACAAAAACTCGGTTCCAGTCATAAAAGCCTGCACATTATATATTGGAGTATTTTTATCATAAAACAAAACAAAGCCTTATTGATCAAATAGGGAAGACTAGCTAATCGAAGAACAAATTGAATGGAGAGAAATCATTGAGCTAATTAATCAAAGCCGCTCGAACGTTAATGATATGGTTTCTTCATTACCGGGATTTTGTTCTTTATTAGGGCTCAAAATACCAAAACCATCAAAATTAAATGGTCCTGGATTTGAACCTACGCCTTTGTTTACAATATAGTCTTCGCAGTCACTAACGTTTCTGCACCATCCGCCCCCCTGCAATTTAACAACATATAAAAGAGTTATTGACCAAAACCATATAATGTACATACATTATTTCACACACATTATATATGCAATATTTTTTCCTACAAACATACTACCTCCATTCTCTTTTAATTGCAACGTTGGACTTTTTAAATTATTATTCACATATTCTATTTTGACTATATTTTATTTATTAATGTATTATAAATTTAATTTTCAAAAAACATTGTTAAATTTTTCTCATTTTAAATTTTCAAAATCTGAACTTTTTTAGTTTTTTACTAATAAGAAATGAAAGATATTAAAGATCAAACTTATGTGTTGACAAACGTCAAAAGGAACAGTTGAAATTAAAAATCAATGGAGGAAGTTCTAGGTATGATCCAAGGTTGACATTTAAAAGAGATCCAACCTTCCAGCATGTACAATAAAATGTTATTTGAAATAGAGTGGCGTGTCTAGCTACTTGTGAAAACTAAAACCTAAAAATGAATTACATACCTTTTGTTATAGGCGATTACACTTCTAGCATTATGAGACACGCTTCTACTTTTGAACTTGGTGACAGGACACTTCACACTTATTTACTGTCACCATTGTTCATTTTTTTTATTAATTCATAGTCAATGATTCCACAAGCTATTAAATCATATATTCATATTCATTTAATTTTTAATATATATTCATGCTTTGATTTTATTAAACCATTTTCGACAGAGCTAGTCAATTGCAAATCATTAATCATTAATGTCACATTACATGAAAAGTTAAAGCTACTCATGGTAATCAATTCGGGTACATGTTATCGTTTTTTTTTGGCAAAATTAAAGGAGTAAGTACTTGTTATCGTTAAAACTCGAAATTAAAGTAAACAGGGAATTTCAAAACTAAACTTACACGGAAGTTTACTCACAACAAAACTATAGGAAATTTTAATTTGACCGTATAGAGAGAGAATATGATTTAAATAAAAAAGGCTTTTTAGTCCGAAATAAAAGTAATTACTTCGTATAATTTAATTGATGAATGATACTACTTACTACGTATGAATTCAGTGGAGGACCTAGGGGGGCTAGGTGGGGCACGTGCCCCCGCTTCAAGCCCGGAATTTCAGTAGTAGTACTTAGGATAAAAACGGGTGCCTCGGCTTCATACCAGTATTTGATAATTAAGATACTAAAATGTTATGGTTATATAAATAAAAAATTAATACAAAACATTTAAATTTTAGCTGAATTAAAATAAAAGATATAGAATTATCAAAAAACAAAAAAAAATAATTAAGAATTGAAAACAAAAAGTAACAAAAAAAGTTAAAATGCAAAAGAGTAGCCAATGTGCGGGCAACTAAAACTACGGAGTGATAAAAGTCTAAAAACTCACTAACATTTGGAAGACTAGAATGATAAAAATCACGTGGACGGTTTACGAATTACGACTTTAGGGGATGTCGCTGCCTTGGCTCTGGCCTCTGGGGACTTCGTTGTCTAGCTGAATTGAGGTTGCACCGCCGCACGCCTACACCGCTCAATCCTCCCATATTTCCTTGATTTGTAAGTTTATTTTCAATTTATTCTGCATTGACGACACCTGCTTTTTAGTTGGGGGATTATTTTAAAAATTAAAATTGTTGATAATCAAGACAGATCTTCGCAATATGATGGGAGATGACTATTTTACAAATTGTTTGGTGTGCTACATCGAGAGAGATGTTTTTAGAAGCATCGATAATGAAACTATTATGCAACATTTTCAGAATATGAAAATTCGTGGGCTTGATTTACCAAAGTTGCAGCACTGAAATATGTAATATGTAATTAACTATTCTTTATAATTTAATACTACGTACATTTTTTTTACCATTTTTATTACATTTGGAGTTATTATTATAGACTAACTTTAGTGTCTAGTGTGCCCCCGCTCTCACAAATCTCTGGATCCGCCACTGTATGAATTTAATAGAAAACGCAGTGATATTTTAGTAAATATCTACACATATTCACACACTCCGTATGACGACCGTATATGTATATATACCGCCCGGTTTAAATAAAAAAGCATTTAATATAAAAAGTGTGATATTTTTAATTACTTTTAGAGATATTACCCAAAATGGGTCTAAAAAAGTTTGGAAATTCCAAAATAGGACTTCCATGTTTTTATTCCCAAAATAGGACTAATTACTGTCATGTTTTGGCAGTACCAGACTTCAAACATGGCAGTATTTTCCAAATTTGGCAGTAATTAGTCCTATTTTGGGAACAAAAACATGACAGTCTTATTTTGGAATTTTCAAACTTTTTTAGTCTCATTTCGGAAACTTTCCCTTACTTTTACATCGTTGTACTGCACTTAAGTTCCAATGCTTCATTTTTTCACGGTGTAAAAAATGTGTATCAAGTTATTCATACTCCCTCCGTCCCTAAATGTTGTTCCAATTGCGAATTACGAAGGTTGACCGACGATAAAGTTAAATGATCCCTGTGAAAACTCGAATTATTTTTAGTAAATAAAATTTACATATTCAGAAACTACATTAAACCCGCTACAAAGCCTGCAAAAAATAATTCAACTTTTATAAAATTTTGATATAAAAAGTAAGAGTTTAAGGGTGATTTAAGTTGACCCTCGATAAGCGAAATGGAACTTCTTTTAGGGACGGAGGGAGTAAAAATTTCACTGCATCTTTAGTCCAATTATTGCGTTGTTGATACCTTTAGAGTCGTTATCTCTCAAATCTAATGTACAAAAATGATTCTCACTTTTCACATTAAAAATCTTTTTATTTGATCCAAAATGTAGGATGGTATGTTAGGATGTTTTTACTTGACTATTTTTAGTCTCAGACCAGAACAGAACATATTAGATCAGAACAGATCAAATCTGATCAAACCAGATCATATTAGACTAGACCAAATCAGATCAAATTAGGTTAGACTTAGAAAATTATAAAATACACAGAGATAATACATTTAGCAAACAGGTTCAAACTAGACAAGTTCAAATCAGATCAGACTAGACCAGAAAATTTCAGTCAAATTAAAAATATCATTACTTTGTAGATTTTTTATTCTATTCAAGGATGACAGTAATGTTGCATGCATTGAAATATTGAATTCAAAAGCTGCATCATAATCTATATGCATATTAAAATTTGGATCATGAATTTGATTAGTATTATATAATATTAAAATTTGGAACAAAGTATTTTATATATATATATATATATATATATATATATATATATATATATATATATATATATATATATATATATATATATACTTTGTATAATATTATGGAAGATATGCACTCATATATATTTGTGTGAAAAGTACGTAATTTTAATGAAGAACATTTTCATATTATTTGTAAATTATAAATAATAAAAAGTACTCCCTCCGTCCCCTTAAGTTTGTCCCGTTTTACCTTTTTCGTTCGTCCCACTAAGTTTGTCCCATACCATATTTGGAAACATTTGAGTGGTTAGAATTCATTCTTACTTTATTTACACTTTATCAATTCAATACCAACCACACAATTCCACTTTTTCTTAAAAAGCACACCACACCCCTCCGTCCCAAACTTAGGGGGACGGAGGGAGTATCATATAAAAATACACAATCGGTAAAAGGTGAACTCGATTAATCTAAAAAAAAGAAACAGAATAACAAAGTTTTAATGGATAGAAAGAGTATCCAACCATCAAAGTCCGAAGATAAAGTGAATGAAAAGAATATAAAACTAGATAACTTACGGGAAGATAAATAATCCAATTTTCAATCCCATTACCATATCCCGGCGCGTAAAAGTAAGCTGCCGGATTCCCGAGCAAGCAAACTACAATGGATTAAAAAGTGACGTTACGTAGTATATTTATGACTGTGCTGCATGTATTAAACTTGATGATGATGATCCAAATCATCCAATTAATTAGAAATATATGGGTTACATGTGTGTACCTGCTTTTTTGTCGGCCTTAACCAACGTAGCGTTCACCAAATTAGGGTTACCTGAAATAAGACAATATTTCATTTAATATACATTTTTCTTTTTGAATTATTTCGAAAACATGAAGACTTTTCTAACCAATTAAATTTTACCAAGTTTTTACTTTTCTACTTTTTCCCTTTATTTATGATTTCGCCTAGACTCATCTTACTTTTTTGTTATATTTTTAAATTAGATTGGTAAAATAACAAGTTTTATCCTATAATAATTTCTTAATTACCAAATACCAAGCGCAATAACATGCGTGAGTAGGGAGCGAAGAAGCCGTTAAGATTTAGAGATTTGCTACCCAGAAGGCCAGCCAATACATTCAAATCATCAAAATACCCAATTTTAAATGTTTTGACGAACATGCACTCATAGAAAGAAAGAAACAAAAAGTTATATTACAAGGTGTTAACATAATAACGTACAAATTAACAGAAATACTTCGTAATAATTACTTAGCTTTAACCTAGCTACATATTGCTTGCAAGTGAGGCCGCGCAGGCTTTTTTATCGTATCTTAGCTTTCAGCAAACAAAGAAAGAAAAAAGAGAGTGGCTGGAACATATAATAAAAGTCTTTAACATTTTTTGTTAAACAATAATAAAAGTCAATGCTCTGTTTTCAATAATTAATTTAATTTTTAATAATTAAAATTTATATATTCATAAAATACATTAAAATTTCTTCAAAGTTGTAAACTCCAAATTATATTATAATTAAAAATTTACATCCTAATTAAGCGAATACAATGAAACTGTTTGATCAAGAAAAATCAAATTTGCAAATCAATTTGGGACGGAGGTAGTAGTAATTAATTAAGAAGAGCTAGATCGAAATGGATGGTTACCGTCGTTTGGCAAGGTGGCGGCCACCACGGAGGTGACGAGTGAGAAGAGTAGTAGAGCTTCACCAAGTTTTTTCGAAGCAAACCCCATTTCTTTTCTTTGTGTTGTGGTGTGTGTACGTATAGTAGGCTTCAATGGACAACCTAAAGGCCAAATTAAAGTAGCTTAGCAGACTAAGGCAGTAAGGGACACAAAGAAGAGATGAGGTAGCTAGCGAGTTTAATTACCAAGTACTTGAACACTTTCATATACTACGTATAAGGAATTGAACGAAGGCTTAATTATTGGAAGATCGAATTAAATTTCTGTCCATTTTGGACTCCAACATAGCAGCTTCAAATCTCCCATACTATTGCAGCAAAAGGCATGCACCATCAAAACCCCTACCCAATTCAACCTAGCCTGCCTTGCCCATCATCATTAGTAATTGCCAAAGCTTTTTTTGGAAACTAAAGGCCGGCTGACCTTTTTACAATCATTTAATGCAGTTTTGTAGGGTATATAAGTAATTAAACTATCTAGGGTTCTTCTTAGCGTGCACAAGCAAAGCTGCACGGGTTGGGGCATTCTCCGCAAATTAAACCAAATTTTGAAGTGTATGCATGTAAATATTAAACCCTTTCATTTAGGTACTTACTTCTTATCTACAACTTTGACTATGCATATACTCACTCCGTCCTATAAAGTTTTTCGCGCATTGACTTGGCTCTCATATTAAGGAGGTGAGATATGAAAATGTATAGTCACATAGTAATTGTGTAAGAAAAAAGTAAAATGAACGTGAGTCACATTAATTATCAAAAAAATGTTAAGTGGGAAGAATTTTTCGTGACGATCCAAAAAGAAAAATTGGAAGAATTTTATGGGATGAAAGGAGTATTTATTTAATTTGCTATTAGTAATTTCAAAGAGACAAATTTTGTCATCATCAACATAATCCCAATGCGTCCAAAACTCTCACCTATGGTGGAGGCAAGTGGAGGTCCGACTTAAGCAATATTAATCTTGTACTAAAGCACTATTGGGATATTGGGTCCAGACCCAATATCCCCGGCCCAAAGTATGAGGAAACCAGGAGGAAACAGAAGGCCCAAAGCAGTCCAGACCCGTTCGGCGTTCGGCACATTACTTACACTTGGAACATTTCGGGTAATAACTACACCCGCATTCTTGACGGGGTGCAGCACACCGAGCGGCGTTCGGGATATTGGCTCTCAGGACAACAATGACGGGATACCCCAGTATCGAACACCCTACCCGAACGGGTAGTCAGCAAGTGGAGGCCGCATTTAATGCTGAAGCATGGCGGCAGCAAGTGGAGGCATGGGTGCATACGTGGCAGGGGGCATAGCCTACCAGATTCAGCCACGTGTCCAGCTTTCTCATCCCCATTTTAGTATAAATACCTGCATTGAATACATTGTAAAGGGTTAGCATTTTAATACTCAGAGCTTAGCAACTAGAAACACTTCTCTTATTCTTGTATTCTTGTACTTACCTACCGTTCGGGTAATTTCAGTGTAATCGCAGAATTACTGAATATAAGTGTGCTCTTGAGTTGAACAATATCTCACTGTTTTATATTTCATACACTTTCCAAACCAAGTTAACATCCCCACAATATCCAGAGCTTGTGTTGGCTTTCGGATCTTCGGGAATAAACCTCAACAAGCACAAAGAGATTGTTTCTGACTGACACATAGTGAAAATCGCGTCGAACATTACATTGACAGACTGCTGCTTCATAAAAAAGAAACGCAAATAATTTAGTGTGTCATTTGCTGTATTCCGTCATCTTCTCAAGCCAAAAATAGAATTTTTGGGTCTATTGCAAATGATGGACAAAAGAAACATATTTTGTATACATCAATAAATAAAATATACTCCTCTTAAAACATGTGAATTGTACGTGTAAAATCCATCAAGCATGATGCAAAATTTTAAAGAACGGTGGTAATATAAAGAAATTGCTTCAAATAAAGTTCACCGCGATGAGTAAATTTATTGACAACAATAACATATTTCGATTATAAGGATCTAGTTAATGCATGATGTGGATGCATCAAATGAATTGAACGAATATGATGTATCTAACTAATCAAAAGCCGGAGCATATTGACATGTTCCATACAGGGAGTAATATAATATTGAAAAAATTGATAATAATATTAATACCAATTATTGGCAGTCCGCTCATAATAATCCCAACTATCGATTATTTCAGAATAATCTCAACTTTAGGTACGTTCCGCCAATAATGGTCCCTATAAATGAATTCATGTAGTTTCTAAAGTGAATGAGAAGAGATATAGCATGTAATCCCTATATAAATAATCCCAACTGTTAAGTAGAAGAATAATGTATATTATGAGAATAATGATTCCTTGCCCATTCATGGATACATGATCGAATATATATACAAAGAGTAAAGAAACCCTATGTAACTAATGTGGCCGCAGCCCGTATCTTCTATGCAAAGCCTAAATACAATTAATATAGTACAACATTAAGCCCAAATATGCTTCGTGCCCAACACCCCCCTCAAGTTGGAGCATGCAGATTATAAATGCCCAACTTGCGAAGAAGAAAGAGGAACTGCCGCTTGCCCAGAGCCTTAGTAAAAATATCGGCGAGTTGATCAGTAGTGGAAACGTGTTGTGTAGTGATTAGCCCCTCTTGAAGAGCATCACGAACGTAGTGGCAATCGACCTCGATATGCTTTGTACGTTCGTGAAAGACGGGGTTCTGTGCAATATGAAGTGCAAATTTACTGTCGCGGAACAGAGGCATAGGATGAGAATGAGTGACGCCAAGGCTACGTAGAAGACTTTTAAGCCATTTCAATTCTGCGGTAAGAGCTGCCATAGAACGATATTCTGCTTCTGCAGATGAACGAGACACCGTGTGCTGTTTCTTGGTTTTCCAAGAGATAGGAGAGTGTCCCAGAAACACGACCCAGCCGGTGAGAGAACGACGAGTAAGAGGACAACTAGCCCAATTAGAATCGCACCATCCTGTCAGAGTCAACTGTCCGGAGGAGCTGAGAAGGATACCTTGACCCGGAGTGCTTTTCAAGTAACGAACAACCTGTAGGGCTGCATCCCAATGTTGTTGACGCAGAGCTTGCATGAATTGAGAAAGAATGTGAATTGCATATGCCAGGTCTGGGCGTGTGAAGGAGAGATAGAGCAGTCGGCCAACAAGCCTTCGATAAGCCTCGGGTTCGGCATAGATCGGTCCATCAGCCAGAGCAAGCGTGTGATTCTGCTCAATGGGAAACTCAGCCGGTTTTGCACCAAGCAATCCTGTCTCGGAAATAATGTCTAAAGCATATTTCCGTTGACATAGAAAAATCCCTTCAGTATTACGTGCCACTTCTATGCCAATAAAGTATTTGAGAACACCTAAGTCCTTCATATGAAAGCACGTACTTAGATATTGTTTGAAATTATTTAGGGCGTTGGAATCAGCACCAGCAATAATCAGATCATCCACATAAATGAGCACATGCAACCATGTATTGTCACGGTGATAAGTAAATAGAGAGTAATCTGAATAAGACTGAATAAACCCAAAATGACGCAGTGCAGCGGCCAATTTTGCAAACCAGCAGCGGGGTGCCTGCCGCAGCCCGTATAAAGATTTCTTTATCCGACAGACAAGCCCATGCTGAGAAGGATAAAATCCAGGAGGAAGCTTCATATACACTTCCTCATCCAGATCGCCATGAAGAAAGGTGTTGTGAACATCCATCTGATGAATTTCCCAGTTTTTAATTGCCGCCACTGCTAAGAAAGCCCGGACGGTAACCATTTTAGCTACAGGAGCAAAGGTTTCAGTATAATCAATTCCCACCTTTTGATGATTACCGAAAACAACCAATCGTGCCTTGAGACGCTCTACCGTACCATCTGAATGGTATTTAATTTTATAAACCCATTTACAGCCGAGGGCCTTTTTATTAGTAGGCAGAGGTTCCAAGACCCAAGTCTGATTGTTTTCGAGAGCATGGATTTCACGTTGCATGGCTTGTCGCCACCCATCATCCGTCATGGCTTCTTTAAATGATCTAGGTTCAAGACCTGCAAGAATAGCTCCAACAAACTCCCGATGGCGTGAAGAAAATTTATCACAATTCAAATAATGTGCTATATGATAAGACATACCTGAGTAGCCTGAAGAAGCAGGAAGTGACGGAGATGGGGTTGGCGTCCGAACGTGTGTAATAAAGTCCCGAAGTAGGACCGAAGATCTCTTGACTCTCTGACCGCGTCCAAGCATAGGATCCACAGCCGGTATAGATGATTCGGAAATAACAGGTGGAGTGGCATGGGGAGGCGAGTCAGGTGTAGTATCTGTGAGTGGGGGCTCATGATGGCCATGCAAAACTTGTTCATCATCATCATGCAAATCAACGACATCATCAAAAATAATAGGAGTAGTAGCTTGCGCATCCGTGGAAGACGGTACCCCATGCGTCTGATCCAGTTCGATATCCAAAAATGGGAATTCATTTTCATGGAAATTGACGTCACGAGAGACAAAAATATCACCAGTCTCCAGATCATACACCTTCCACCCTTTCTGTCCATGGGGATATCCCACAAACACACACCTCTTGCTTCGGGGTAGAAACTTGTCACCCCGGGATTTCTCGTTATGTGCAAAGCATAAACATCCAAAGACCCTGATAAAAGTGAAGTCGGGAACACGTCCGGTGAGCACCTCGAACGGAGTTTTCCCGCCCAGTACACCGGAGGGAGTGCGATTAATTAAATAAACTGCAGATAAAACACACTCTCCCCAAAAAAATATAGGAACATGAGATTGAACATTAAAGCCCGGGCAACATTGAGAATGTGTCGGTGCTTACGTTCAACCCGCCCATTTTGTTGCGGCGTTTCCACACAAGAAGATTGAAACAAAATACCATGATCATTAAAATAAGGAAGCAGGCATTTAAAATTTGTCCCGTTATCACTGCGTACAATTTTCACAGATGCATTGAATTGCGTTCCAATCATAGCAAAATAGGAAAGAAAATATTTGTAGACTTCCTTTTTGTCACGCAATAAATACACCCAAACAGCTCTAGAATAATCATCCACAATAGTCAAGAAATAAATAGCATCACAGGTCGAGGGAGTTTTGTAAGGACCCCATAAATCACAGTGGATTAATTCCAAAATATGAGTTGCTTTATTGTCACTAACAGGGAAAGAATCACGAACTTGTTTTGCTTGTGGACAAACTACACAAGCTTTATTCAGAGATTTTGTAAAATTACTAGAACTAAATGCAGGCAGTAATTTAAGAACCCGGTATG